CCCTTCATGTCTGCAGCTTGCACATAGTACTGCTCCTGCCTGGATGCCCCACCCGCTGTCTACTTAACCCCCACTCCCCATTCAGATCTCACTTCAGAGGTCTCTGCTCTAGAAAGGAGGCCCCTGACCCCCCTCCAAGCATTTCACAGCTTAGATACTCTTATCCTGAAATTCTGTCTTTACAGCACTTTAATACCATTTGTAGTTAAACATTTATTTGCCTATTAGATTAATGTTTTTCCTCACAACTCTCCAGTAAGTTCATAGGGCATCGATCATGTCTGTTCTGCTCACTTTTATAACTTCCGAACTTGACCTAAAGCCCAAGACTTAAATGTCACTAATATAGATTTTGTTTACTGGGAAGTTGGTTGGATAAATGAATAAACAAATGAAGAGGTATCAAAATTAAAAAAAAATTAAATGGCTGCTCACTCATCTAGGCTTTGAACTAAAAATCATCTTTACTTTAAAATTTGTTTTTCTTTGAAAAAATTCCATTCAACCAAAAGTTCCGATTCAGATTAGTAATTACTTTGTATGACAATGAGGATAACATTTTTCAATCTTGCCTAATCAAATGAACTTTTATGGTTTTCTTTTGTGTGTGTAGCCCTTGCCTGTGTGTATGTCTTTCACACAAAATACAGATCCTTTTCCAAGCCAAATATTGAATGATGACTCATTCCCTTTAGATTTAGTTTGGATGCGATGGGTAGAGGAAGAAAAGGCAAGAAAACATATTAGCCTTCTAAGATTAATGACTATATTTTTCTGCTGGGAACCTGGAGTCCTAAACTGAATGTTTCCTCTCTGATCCCCAATATATGAAGCTGGACCTAATGTAATTGCTTCCAAGGAGGAAATACTGCTTATACCTTCTGACTGGCTGTCACTGTGCTCTAAGTTAATCACCACCCCCTCCCAAAATGCCCAGCTCCATACAATCGTGAGAATTCAGGACAGAATCTCTGTGGCAGTTTAAGCAGTAAACTTATTCATCTGCGTGTGAGGGACTTTTAGTTCCCAAAGCTCAGAAGATTTTATTAAGCAGATGGCATCTTCTGATTTTTCGATATCTCATTTTTCAAATCCAAATACTCTGGATTTCTACAGTGTTTCTACATCGTGTTCAGAAAACAGAGTAACACAATTCTCCTTTTGGTTGTTCGGTAGAGCACGATGCTATTGCACTGATATTTTGGAGAGTTATTTATTCTGTTCTTTCATTTTCTACATTTACCATTTACCTGTTCTGTAATGGCCTGCTCTCCCACCCCTGTCTTTCTTACATACTCTGCTCTATGCTCATCAGCCTTCTTGCCGCTCCTCATCGTCTCCAGGCATGCTCCCACGTGAAAGCATGCATACTTATTGCCATTCTGCCAGAAATATCCCTCCCCCAGGTATTTCCATGGCTGGCTCCATCGAAAACTTTTGGCCTTACCGAAAGGCCTTATTTAAAGTTACAATCCCTCTTGAACACTTCTTATACCTCTTTCTGCATTTTTTTCCATAGCATTTATACAATAAAACAGTTTATTTTTCTTTTTATTACCTATTTTTCCACCTCGAGGACAAAAACTCCATGAAGACAAAGGTTTTTGCTTCTTTTATGTAATGCTATATTTTCAGCTTTTATTATAGGTACTCAAAAATTATTGAGTAAAACAAATTTCCCATCAGAATTATCCAATACAAAATATTCCTGTGAAAACTACCAAGAGGCTCTGTGAGTCTGGGAGTACTGGTTCTCAGAAGGGGGGTTCTTCCACCAGGGAACAGGGAGAGTCCTGTTAAACATAAAGCTACGGCTGCTGCCTGGTCGGCCCCAGAGGCCAGCGAGAAGAGAAACGAGTTAAATACCGATGGGTAAATGACCCTGAGGACCATGAGCGAGAGGGTAGCTGCTGTGTGCAGTGGCACGGAAGAATATGTTAGGATCTCAGAAGACCCACTGGGGCATTTTTTGGCATCCGTATGCCCAATTATAACTTTCAATTTGTAATTACAACAACACAGCATTAAGACATCATAATCCAGGGCTCAGAACCCTCAGGTCTGAGGTTTGGCTAAAACATCAGGCCTTCTAGAAGAGCAGAGGTGCTAGCTGAAGGAGAGAGGATTCTAAAATGGCTAGGGAGGTGGGCAGGCGATGAGTATCAATGATGGCCTTGGTGCCAACTGCATTAGTGGGAGCCCCACTGTTCCCCCTCAAGTACACTTTCTTGGAAATTGTAATCAGCCAGGATCTTTGATAAGCATTGTCTCGATGGCATGAACTTAATGAGAAGCAAGCAGATCTGAGGGGTGGGAGGAGTGGAATGCAGTGGAATATAGCTGTTGGTTCATCAGCAAGATCCATTTTATCAGCTGTGCAGATTAATCAAGTGGATAATTGTAATGTGGTAACATACACAGCAATCTGCACAGACTAATCCAGAAAAGAAGAGATATGACACAAATGATCAATACTCAGACAGAAAGAGGAGACGTAACTACAGATACGGCAGAGATTACAAAGACAGTAAGAAAATATCCTGGAAAACTGCATTAGTACTACCACTGTGGAAAACCATTTGGCACAATCTAGTAAGACAAGATATGCATGCCCTGTGATCCAGCAATTTTCCTCCTCAGAATGTGCTCGAGAGAAACTCTTGCACATGTGCACCAGGAGAGAAGTACAAGAATGTTCCTAGAAGCGTTGGTCATAATGACAAGAAAATAGAACTCCAAATGTTCACATACAAGAGAATAAACACATAAATTGCGGTGACTTCATACAATACAATATGGAACAATAGCAAAAAAAATGAATAAACTATAGCTACATACCATCAGCTATAACAAATGTCACAAATATATTCTTGGGCAAGATACCAAATTACAGAAAATACAGTATAATACTATTAGGTAAATTCAATAGCAATCAAAATTAAGCAATATTCTATTTGAAGATATATAACTATATGATGAAATATAAATAAAATATAAATAAATAAATATAAGCAAAGGATTTATAATCACAAAATTTAGAATAGTGATTATCTTGGATAAGGAGGCAGAGGAAGGAAATCAGAGTGGCAGACACAGCCAGTTTCAAGAGTATGAAAAATCGTACATTTCTCAGTTGAGTGGTGAGCACACTGATGTTCATTTTATGAACATGTCCTAAAGTACACGTATACATTAGACATTATTTTAAGTGTAAAATAGTTTAAACAAAAGAGGCATTTTGTATGGAAAACATAAAGGAAAAGAGGGGAGGAAGGGAAGAGGGAGAAGTGGAGAAATCTTTCCTAAAATCTACACCCGAAATATCAGTGGCAGGGTAGAAATGAAACAGCAAAACAATGGGGTTTTCTCAGACCATATGTAATCTGCTATTTTTCAAGAAGTATTTTCTTGGCCCAAAGGTAAGAAAAGATCTTAGTTTTGGAGTTAGCATAGACCATAACACAACTTAAAAATTCTTAAAAGTAGCTTTAAAAGTTGCATGCAATATTCACTGTGGGGCAGTCTTAAGTGATTCTCTTAGAGACGCCATCACTTGGCTTCGGAGATGAGAAAGCATCTTTATCATGAACCCTTGCTTCGCCAGGCTGATACCCACAGTCCTATGAATCTCCCCCACTTCTCTCAATTCTTCTCTTACAGGCTGGGAAGGGGCACTGGGGTGACCATCCATCTGGAGGGTACAGATGACGTGTCTTCTCTTGTTAAGCCCAAGGCAGGGCGCCTGGCCCTAGTGCTTTGCAACTCTTTTTAAAAGGTGATTATTTTATACTTCTTTGTCCTTAAATTGGGTTCATTGTTGCCAATTTGAAGGCACAGAAAATAATGTCCTCCTCAACAATGTTTTAATTTTACGCTAATAACAATTATTAAAGAGAATTTAAAGTTTGATTTGTGGATTAGTATGCTGTATCAATGAAAAGAAGAAAACTCTAAAATATACATATATATACACACACACAATGTGGGGCAAAAACAGGACTATTAAATACGAAAGACCTCTTCATAAAATTCATATTTCAAAATATAACTTTTTGGTTTTAAACACAGGGGAAAAGATTTTGTCTTATAGGCATCACTCCCTCACACCACATCTTTCCTCTCCCTGGTGGTAATGTTCCAAGTACTGCTCATTAAATGCACGTGTGTAACTAATTTAAGTGTTACAGAATTGAAGGCTTAAGTCCCTCTTCACCCAGAAGTAAAATAAGAAGGTAAGATGCCAGTCTAGACTCTACGGAGGAGTCAGAATTAAATTGTAAAATCATATTCCACAGAAGAATCTAAAATGACTCCTCAGGTTATGAATACTTGATTATGGTAGAGACAGTTCAGAAACAGCCTTATTTTAATTCATTTCGAAAAGGTAGTTATTCATTATACCGAGTTATGCTCAGGAAAGAGAACAGAAAGGGCTTAGTTTTGAGCTATCAAGCTTAACACTACGTATGAAACAAATATTCTCTCTCTGTTCCATGGCAGAGTTGAGCTTGCTAAATATCATTCTAGGGGTAGAGTCCATATGCTGGTCAAAGACATATACCCTGGCATGGAGAAATATGATCCACAGAAAGCACTGAAGGGAAATTTGCATATATGCATATTATTAAGGTACATATCGTTAAAGGTGCTTTCATTACAAGGACGACTGCACTCTGAAACTCATCTTCACTACACGTCAACTCCACATTTTAACATCACTGTCTTGAAATGGAAATGACAAGGGAAAGGCAGAGCGGGGATCCCATACTCTTTGAACACCATTTGCAGAAGCGGCAATAATCCTGGAGACATTTAAATAATCATGCTCCCCCTATCAAAGCCATATTAAGGATAACTCTCTCAGCATTTTTACTTAAAGAGAATTGCCACTAGGGACCCATATCTAATAAAATTAACAGACCAGTGAAAACAGAAAACTATAGTCTGTTAGAGGGAGTCACCCTCCACAGGGAGCCGAGAGAGAAAACGGAAGAGCTTACCTTTATGATGGTTTGCACTGGAGACCACTTTCCCCCACAAGGTTACAATAAATATGATTATCAGAAGCTTTCCTTTTGTTGCTTTCTGTAAGTCTCTCTTACTCATCCTGCAAATAAAATATAATAAAAATCCTGAGTATGTGAAAGCATTGCTTTTCCATGATAATTGTGCTACACTTAAAGTTTTCCACGACACCTTAACACCCTAAAATTGCATTTCTTATATTTAAAATGCTGTTCGCTCATGTAAACCTGAACAGAAAAAATATAAAGTTTTCTGATCAAAGTACCTTGATATGATGTAAGAGATAAGACAGGCCCAACTCAGGCAGGCTTCATTCACTTAACAATAGCCTAAATCAATTGAGAAACATTACCATTTTTCTCTCCGTATAAATATAGATTTAACTTATTCACAAAATCCAAGGCACAAATGTTTGAATAATTTTTAAATAAGTGACTTATTTTACTTTTTTTTTGTTGAAGATTCCTTCTTCAATGCCAAGTCAAATGGTCAGGGTAAACAGTCTAGATAAAATATGTTACATGAATTCCTGCACAGAATAAAGTCACTCCAAATCTATTATTTCTAATATGCTTTTTACAAAAGTCACCTGATACAAGAGCTTCCTTACTGAACAACACTACTACTGGAGATACATCAGTATTTTAATATTGTTGAAACCCACTGTGCTCTACTTTATCAGAAGTAGGAGGAAAACGGAAAAGCAGAATGAAAAACAGCAAGTTCATGGGGCTGGCCCCGTGGCCGAGTGGTTAGTTTCGTGCGCTCCGCTGCAGGCGGCTTAGTGTTTCCTCAGTTTGAATCCTGGGCGCGGACATGGCACTGCTCATCAAACCACGCTGAGGCAGCGTCCCACATGCCACAACTAGAAGGACCCACAACGAAGAATATACAACTATGTACCGGGGGGCTTTGGGGAGAAAAAGGAAAAAAATAAAATCTTTAAAAAAAAAAAAAAAACAGCAAGTTCACATTTTCAAGTTGAGCACACAAAACTCAGGAAAGCAAAGAATTGTTATAATAAAATAATAGCTACCTATAACAAAAGTTCAACATCTACTTTCTCTAGCACTTTATACATTATTTCAACTGTTCTTCAGAACAAATTTGGGGTGTTGGTAGGTCTCTCCCCATTTCCCAGATGATGAAATTTGGAAATTTGCCTGAGGTTGTGTTTAATGATAGAGTAAAAATTCAAACCCAGAATTGTCTAATTCTAAAATCCTTACATTAACTACTACAGTACATTGCTAAAGAGCAAGCGAAATGAGTATACAACATCCACCTGCATGTACTTTTGAGGGAGATAAGCCATATGCCCATCACCCGGTGCCTTCTCCCATTCACATCCTTTCGTCATTCCATTCTTGTCTGACCCACAGGTTCTCGCCCTAGTGCAAGTTCATGAGGTCACTTCCTGACTTAGCCTGATTCCTCTTCCTCTTGAAGGCTCTAAGTTACTTTTTTCCTTACACCTTTACTTCCAGAACATTTCATCTCCAAAAACATGACTCAGAGGTAGCGACGATGACTGTCCGATTTTGAAGAGGAGTCTTTTACATGGATAAATGCGTGACAAAGTTAATTAATATATTATATATTTTAATATGGATAAATGTTAATATGTCTTGGCCCGGAGCAGCTGGGCACACTAATTCAGACGTTGAGGAGGCAGCACTGTATGATTAAGAACATGGACTCACTTCTGGGTCAGACTGTCTGGATTTGAGTCCAGACTCTACCGGCTTCTAATTCTGTGATCTTGTACAAGTTTCTGGCTCTCCCGTTTCAGGTTCTGCTTCTGTAATATGGGATGAGGAATGTGAAATGCCTGGCCCACTGGTTAGCATGTAGAGGGGCTCAATGACAATGAGATAAAGAACATCAGTCATTTGGACGTTACGTTGAGTCTTTCGGTGCATGAGAGGCTAGTCCCATTCATGAGATGATTGAAGGGATTTCAGTGGCACCAAAAGCTGCAATCCCTCCATGGACCTTAGTCTTGTCACGGGTCAAAATAATGTACAAAAGGGTAGGTATTTGACCTTTTAGATTGTTTGGTTTAAAATCTGGCTTCCTACCTACTGGTTATATGACTTTGGACAAATTACTTAATAACTCAGAGTATTTTCATTGTCAGTAAAATGAGGGTAATCATAATAACTACCAGGGTCAGCACCATGACATAGTGGTTGGATTTGAACCCTCTGCTTCAGTGGCCGGGGGTTCGCTGGTTCAGATCCTGGGTGTGGACCTACACACTGCTCATCAAGCCATGCTGTGGAGGCATCCCACATACAAAATAGAGGAAAAGTGGCACAGATGTTAGCTCAGGGACAATCTTCCTTAAGCAAAAAGGGGAGGATTGGCAGCAGATGTTAGCTCAGGGCCAATTTTCCTAACCAAAAAAATAAACAAACAATGAGAATAAGAATAACTACCTCATACTGTTGTTGATATGAAGACCAAATGAGACAGTCCATGTAAAGAGTTCAAAACTACGCATAGAAGATAATAAATGTTAACCTTTACTATGATCATTACTTGGTTAGACCAGCATTCCGCTAGGTGAATTCTGTGAGGCATCACTTCCACAGAATGTTAATACAGTGTTAGTGAAAAACTTAGGGGGCAAGTATATTTGTAAAATACTTGGTTCAACAAATTTAACCAGATTCTTTTTAACAAGAGGCATTTTCCAGAAACCTTCCTCTATAGAGGAACACAGGATATTAATATCCTCAGGAAGCCACTTAGAGAAATAATCTAGTTTAATGTTTTCTCTCAGTAAACCAAATACCTGTTTTAAATCTTCCGTTCTATTGCCTTTATTTTCTCCCTGCACTTACTACTAGTTTTGTTATGAGATTCTACTTTTTCTCACATTTTTTCAACCATCCTGCCTCCCCTTCTACATCCAATCCCTGCAAACATACTGTACTGCATATCCTATAACAGAATGAACAGTTTAGCAAAATTCATCTGACAAGAAGAGCTGCTTAGCATAATTCTTGGTAATAGATTTCCCTTAGCAAATGGCCTCTGCTACAAGGTCAATGACCCATTGTATTTTCCATACCATTGTGCACCCACCAAATGAGATGACAGAGCTGACAGCTGGTCAAACTGATAGCTAAGACATATGGAAACAGAAACACCCACAAAGTCACCAGGCTGTCAAACCAAGAAAGGAAGGAGAATACAGGTCAACATTTCAAAGTCTGTAAAGACCCCTGCCTTCTCCCTCTCATACCATCCTCAGCGCCATCCAGCCAGTAACCGTCTTCTGTCCATATGACTTCCTGAATCTCTCTTAAATGTACACACTTATTTCCATCCCTATTGCAATACCACAGTTCAGACCACCAACATTTCTCACAGGCCAAAGCCTACTAACTAGACTTCCTGCCGCCAAGATTGCTGTCCCCTGGAACTGAAGGCAGAGTCTATGTCTGCCTTTTCATGACTATATTTGCAGTATTTAGTCCTCGGTAAGTGCCTGATGAATACCATTGACTGAATGTAATGCAGTCTGTATACTGTAGCCAAACATACAGCTATGACCTTAAGACACTCTTAGTATGATTAAAACCTTCACATGATTTCCCTGAACATTCAGCGAAAAAAAGGCCATAACCCTTAGCAGGGTATTAAAAGTTTGTATTAGCGTTAAAAAAACAACGACTTTGACTTTTTGTGTCCCTAATCTTGTTTTATGCCATCCCTCCCATCTCTCTCTCCACACACACTCACAGTCAATATTTTAACTCTGCTAAATCTCCTCAGTGGCTTCCAGCTAAATCTCACTTCCATGGCACCTGAAAGCTATCAGTCACCCACCCCATCCCCCACCCACTCTTCAAAACGCTAATTTCTAGTCCTTGGCCAGGGAGCAGTTTAGAATTCCTTCTATAGGGTTTGCTCAAGGCCACATTGAGCAATCCCTTCTTTGTGTGGACCGGCCACTCGCCACACTGTATTATAATTTTCCATTTACTTATCTCCAACCCTAACTCTCAGATAAGATTCCTAAGTATAGGGGCTGTGCTCCATACAGTTGAGAATATCTAAGGCCTAGCCCAAGATTCAGCTTACTAACTGGTAAATGAGTATCCAGGGTGGTGCTTTAGAGCCAAATGTATTGTGTAGTTGTCAATGTGAGGGGGAAGGGAGTATGCGTCATTACTTTAGGATGAAATCAGAAAAGGACAAACAGGAAGAAGAAAGTGAGAAAGGGGTGATGGAGGGGAGAAAAGAAAGGGCAAACTGGAAAAGGAGACAAAGAGGTGGAAGAAACCCAATCTGTAATGTGTTCTATTCTAACTGATTTTTAAGTAACAATCAAGTTTGAGCAAAATGAAGTGTAATGGAGTGATGGAGGATTTTCCACAAAGGGGCGATAATAAAGAAGAAAACCCAGGTGAAAAAAGCTGAATGATCCATTTCTTCTTGAGCTTGCATGAGAGCACGGGTGGAGGGGCACTCACTTATTCAATGTGCCAACCACCAGGTTTCAGTTTAGAAATTTCCACCACAGTCAAGGGCTGAACACACTTTCAGAATCGTCACACTCATCTGTAAAAGCAGCAAAATTTAAGTGAATTTTCTAACAGCAAAAGCAGAGGGAAGAAGAAACTGGAAACTGAAAGATAAATACACACAGAGGATAAGACCTGGAAATTGCTCCCCCGGCAGCAGCAGCAGCCTGCAAGGAGCACAAGTGAAACAGGATCATCGAGAAATGGTCACCTTGGCAGGCAGGATATTGAAGTGAAAAGTTGTCAAAGTAGAAGACTGACAATTAAATCTTCAGCCTGTCTCCCACTCTTCTCTTCCAGATTACAAATTTCAGCTATCTTCACTGAGATTGAGACTTTTGGATGATTTCGAAACCCTTCGCCTCCCTACTAATGTTAAAAGTGCATTTAATTGTAAATAAGCAAGAATTGAAAACTATTATGCTCCTAGAAAAATCATTTCCCCACAAAAACAGAAAGTAAGTTTAACAGGTTTAAAGAAGAGAAGATGGAAGGGGGAAAGGAGGGAGTCGCAGGTACAATGGAAATAAAAACTGGGGCCTAG